CTCAGCCGAACCAAACTCGGCGGAGCCTCGGAAGTGATCTGACTTGGTTAGTCGGAACCGGGTGGAAGCGAGCCACTCGTCTGTCCCGGAAGGGCCGGACCGCGAGGGGACCACCCTCTACGCAGGCCATACAAACCGCCGACCTAACTCGGCGATTCGTTGTGGTTTGTGTAAGGAATCCACATCTGACGATATTTGTGTGTTCTACTACACCACACGTGCCAGCCAACCCAAATCCTCTCTAATCACTTGAAAAATTGTCACTGATTCGGGATAGTGACCCCGCGTCAGGCCCATTCTCTTATTTCTGAAAAAGCACTTCACCACACAATGTCGATTTTAGCCGCCTCTTCGCTGCGCTCGGCAGAATTTTAGCGAATCGAGGCCGCCTTCGCTGCGCTCGGCAGCCAGTAGAACGCGCGTATTTGCGTTACATTTTAGAACCCTACCCTCGGACGGACTGACGGACTGAAGGAGACCACACTCCACTAGAGGGGTAAGACTAGCCGTTCGTCGCCGCTACGCGGCGGAGTGGCATGGTTTGTTGTAGATGAGGTGGCCGCAACTTTAGTGCTTCTTGGTGTCGCGTGTTTTGAGAGCGTCGTTCGCCCGAGTAGGTCTTGGCTTCGTGTACTTAACTAATTACCATTCGGTAGTCTCATCTGAACCCGTATACTATCGTTGTTTGGTACGCTTCCGTTACCCCGTACTACAGGTTGGATGTCATGTTCTACAGTGGCGTGGCGCTCTTCCGTGATCTTCCTGGCTTCGTGGTTCCCTGCTCACCCGTGGTCCACGCTGCTTAGGGGTTATACGACCTCTCTTTTGGACTCATACTCTTTAGTACTGCGTCTTTCGTGGCTGCTAACTATTTCCTGCTCTCAAACGTTTCGTGGGCTGCACCGGGTTCCTGATACACAGTCTTTCGTGACCGTTAGCCTCCCATAGCTGGTACTCTAGCCGAAGGGTGCTTTTCCGTGGTTTGGTGCCTCCACGCAGTCGTGTTGTTCCAGCACCCGTGTATCGGGCTCGTTTGGTGAGGCTCCATCGACCGCGTTATAACGCCATCGTGTAATTGCGATAGAGTTTTGCTGTCTATGGTATTGTGCTCGAGGATTGCATCTGCATTGCTCACGGTATCGTGCTCTACAACGGCATCGTCCTCCACAATCGTGGTCACCCCGAGCCCCCTTCCATTTCGTGGCTGGTCTGCCGTCCGTGCAATCGAATTCTAATGCGCTATTGTTCTCCGTGGCATGGTAAGCTCAGGTTCTACACTGATATAGTGCTCCGTGGCTCGTTGATCTCGCGTCTACAGCTCCAGTGGCCGCATTTCTATCATGGCTTAGTGTCTTGGCCACCGTCCAAGTCATCGTTTTATTTTGTGGTGTTGGCGCTGGTCTGCCGTCCGTTCTATTATGAGCTACCGTAGTATCGTGCTCCCCTGGCTCGGTAAGATCCGGTTCTACCCTGGTATCGTGCTCAAATGCTCGGTGATTTCCCGTTTATGGTCTCCCGCGGCTTTATGCCTGGTCCGTCGACCGTGCTCCGTGCTCTACCGTAATGCTATGGGAGAATTGCTGCTTACCGCTGCGTGCTCTTCCGTAGCCGTGCTTTTCAGCATACTGGGGTGTGTATATATTTAGTTCCCATCCGTGGCTCGTACGCTCTCGTCATATTCTTGACCTTCTGTCCTTTTCATGACTGCGTACTCTTCCGTCTTTCACGCTACGCATGAAACTTCATGGTTTGCATCGGCTAAGTCTTCTATCATCGTCCGTTGCCCTCCGTGCTTCGTGTTGCTCTTCTATCCCGTCGTCTACATAGTGTGGGTCGATGTTCCTTCGTGTTTCGTGTTCTTGCTTAGTCACGTGCCTCCGCGTTCACTTAATAACAAATGCTTTTCCCAATATATATTGTTGAAAAGCTCACACAATATCTTAAGGTCGCACACTACGCGCGCAAATACAAAGGAAGATGATACTTTCTCCCGAAGGCAGTGTGGGGTGCTGGGGTGTCTGGGGTGGGAAGTCATAATAGTCATATTTTAAAGGTTTCACATTATAAATAGTAGTAGTAAAATTGTGATTTATTACTAAACGCTGGTATAATATTTATGTGTACTACTACTACTAATATCTGCAAGCAAAAATATGAAATGTCTTGATAATAGTACTACTCAAAACAGTATTGAAAGTTTAATTATTAGAAACGTACTACGAAGCCTAAAACATCAATCTACATCCAATAAGTAATAAATCTCCAGTTTAAGTCGAAATATAGGTCAACAGGGCCTACAATTTTTTTCAACAGCTCCTACGACGATACAGTACGTGTGTGCCCATCGGCGCCTTATACTAATGCTAACTAACGCGCACACAGGCAGCGCCCTTTGCGTGGCGTTGCAGACCGCAGCTGAAAATGAGAGCAAAATGAAATTTAAGCGGTGCTTTTAAGTACGATGTGTAGTCCACATACAGTGTGTACAAAACGTAATATTGATTTTAGCCAATGGGGGCCGCCTTCGCTGCGCTCGACAGCTTTTTAGCGAATCGACGCCGCCTTCGCTGCGCTCGGCAGCCAGTAGAACGCCCGCATTTGCGTTACATTAATTAAGCCTACCCTCGGACGGAGAGACGGACACCAGACTCCACTAGGGGGTAAGACTAGCCGTTCGCCGCCGCTACGCGGCGGAGTGGCATGGTTTGTTGTAGATGAGGTGGCCGCAACTTTAGTGCTTCTTGGTGTCGCGTGTTTTGAGAGCGTCGTTCGCCCGAGTAGGTCTTGGCTTCGTGTACTTAACTAATTACCATTCGGTAGTCTCATCTGAACCCGTATACTATCGTTGTTTGGTACGCTTCCGTTACCCCGTACTACAGGTTGGATGTCATGTTCTACGTTGGCGTGGCGCTCTTCCGTGATCTTCCTGGCTTCGTTGTTCCCTGCTCACCCGTGGCCCACGCTGCTCAGCGGTTATGCGCTCTCCTTGTGGGTTCATGCTCTTTAGTACGACCTTTTCGTAAAT